CGCGGCCCCTCGCTGCCCCGTGGTGGCGCCCTGGGGGCCGCGCGCCACCCCTGGAGCCGCGCGCGGCCCCTCGCTGCCCCGTGGTGGCGCCCTGGGGGCCGCGCGCCGTCCCCCTCGCCGTCCCCCGCGCTCCTACCCCGTGCCACCCGTTTTAGGGTTTGGGGGTGGGGAGTGTGGGGGTGACGGTTGTGGGGGTGCCGGTTGTGTGCGCCGTCCCCTGCTCCTCCTCCTCCTCCGTCTCCCGCTGCTGCAGCTGCCGCTCAGGGGGGTGGGTGTGTGGGAGCCGAAGGAGTGGTGCTAGGGGGGTGACGTGGGAGTGGAGTTAGGGGTTCAGCAGGGGGTGTGTGTCAAGGGTGTGGGTCAGTTGGAGGAGGTTGTGTGGAGGTAGCTGTCGTGTCGCCTGCAGCGCCTGTAGTCCGTCGCCCTTCCTTCGGTAGCCAGTGAGCCTGTTGCACCAGTCGCCAGTGGGTCCGTTGCTCCTGCCGCTCGTGTATAGCCGCGGAGCCAGTCACTCCAGTAGTCCGTCGCCCTTGCTTCAGTAGCCACTGAGTCAGCCGCTCCTGTGCACGTGCCTCTGCAGCTTCAGTCGTTGCCTCCCATCTTCTCTCCGTCCACAGTACTCTCCTCCTCCTCACTTGCCCTCTGTGATAGCCTCTAGCTTTGCTTGCCATTGTGAACTTGCTCTATGACTGTGTGCTCTGCTGATTACACCCCACTTTGGCTATGGGGGTGTCTCAGAATGTTATTATCTAGCCTGTAGTGGGGTGCTCTATAGCGAATACAACCCTGTTAGGGTTTGCTATATGTATCCCAACTGCTGCTAGTGAAACCCTCCTTTGTTCATTTCTCTCTTGCCTAGCTAGCTAAACCCTAGCTATGGCTCCTCACTATGCTTATGTTTCTAACATTTTATTTTTCTCGTCGAAATCCCTCACTTAGCGCAGCACGTGCGTGACGTCGCCCACAACACGCGGCAACGTACAAGGCGTGAAGGCGCATTGAGCCCCACAAAACACGCACCGCACATCATCTTGACGGAATCGACCGTCAAGATTGGTTTAGTCACGGGGCCTTCAAGCAGCCCATCTCGTCTCAGAGGCAGGAGAGGCACAGGACGTGGAGCACTAGGGTTTCACGTCTCCACCCTGCCGAGCACGGGAGCCCTAGTGGTTCATTTCGCTCTGTTCCGTGTCTCAGATCTAACTCTGCCTCCCTTGCTTTTTTCCCGACTACAAAGCACGCTATGGCAGCTGCCACTGAAGCAATCAGTTGCCGGTAGAACATTAGCAGCTTCTTTCAATGTCTCTTCACAAGAGCCCATGGCGTTCGCGGCGTTCATACTTACCGGTAGGCAGTTTGTCTGGCCAGCCTGCTGTCGTGCTCATCACGAGCTCGGCCCCGCCAGCTCCTCTTGCGCCTCCTCCACCTCCGGCCCCTCCGGCTCCTCCTGCGCCTCCTGCGCCCCCTGTGCTTCCCTCGGGCGTGGTCGACTGGCGCAACAACCCTCCGTTGGACCCTCTCCAGAACGAGGGGTTTTCCCAACCCGCCGCCGCTTGGGATGAGGACATGGCGGGTGACGATGAGGTGAACCACGACGTCGGCAATTTCCCGATCCCGTCGTTTTCGGAGGATCTCATGCACGACGAGAACGGTCCGCGGTCCAGAGTCGACAGTGCGCCATCGAGTCCCCGCGCTCGCACAAGTACACACACTCGCAAGGCCCGTACGATGGGTGAGAAACAAGATTGGCTCGCGCGGATGGAGGCGGAGAAACTATCCGTCCGCCACACGGCACGTCTCGCGGGGGTGCAACCGGTCAATGTCCGCCGGTGGATTCGGGTGGCGGATCGGATAAAAAACGCGGAGCGCTCCAGGCGGCGCCTCAGCGGTGGCGGGAGGAAGGCTAAGTACCCCAACATGGAGGCGCACGCCTACAAACGCATGCTCAACTTCCGCGGCCGTGGCTTGGCCGTGCCGATTCGCCTCATCAAGCACTGGAGCAGGGTCTACATGAAGGCCCACTACTTGGACGTGAGGTGGATGGCGTCCAACAGGTGGACGTGCCGCTTCCGCGCGCGCCTGGGACTCTCCATCCGCGTGAAAACGAAGATTGGGCAACGTCTCGCAAAAGGTAAGACGTTTGTGTGCATTTTATACCCTCTTAGTGCATCCTTTTTGTGCTGTTGTGCATGTGATATCAAGGGTATACCAAAGCCCGTGGCTCATGCACATGAATCTTATCTTGTGCGTTCGTGGCATAGTGCAAGCCGAAGTGCCTGGAGTTTTGGGAGTTCACCCGCAAGAACATCATCAAGCACGGCATCGACTCGTGGAACATCATTAACGCCGACCAAACGCCCGTGTTTTTGGAGATGCCGAACGAGCACACCCTTCATCACCGCGGGGAGAAGACGGTGCACGTCAGGAGCGCAGGGTATGAGAAGGAGAGGGTTACGGTGATGCTTGGCATCAGCGCTGACGGCCGCAAACTCCCTGCCATGGTAATTTTTAAGCGCAAGACAATCCCAAAGATTCGGGTGCCTGCAGGTGAGTCTAAACCGTTAAAAAGGTTCAGTTTCGTGCTTGTTTGGGGGCGATGTCTAACCACGCTTGACGTTCATGTGCAGGAGTCATCATCCGCGCACAAGCCAAGGGATGGATGGACGCCAAGCTAGTCGACGACTGGGTGAACAACATTCTGCTGTCGTTCATCAAGCCCCCGCGTGGCATCCAACGGTCCAAGACCCTCTTGGTCCTGGACTCGTACCGGGGCCATCTCAACGATGGGGTGCTCACCAACTTGAAGTGGAACCGGGTGATCCCGGCCATCATCCCAAGGGGCTGCACTCCTCTGCTGCAGCCCCTTGACGTGAGTGTGAACCGCTCATTCAAGGCGCTGTTGCGTGAGATGTACAACGAGTGGTTCGTCGAGATCGGCATCAACACGTTCACGAAAGCCGGTGAGTAGGCCGGTTACGCGTGTGCTTGTTCTAACCCGTGTAGGCCGGTTCTAACTTCCTGTCTCCCCATGTGCTTCTTTCTCTGTGTACCCTGTGCGTGGCAGGGAACTTGAAGAAGCCCCCACTTGAAACGGTGCTCAAGTGGATTGCGGCGGCTTGGGCAGCGGTCCCCGAGCACATCATTGAGAAGGCGTTTCTCACCACCGGAATCAGCAACTATGTCGACGGGAAGCAGGATCACCTCGTCCTGGCCCACATGCGCGATGCGGGCGAGGTCGAGGTGGCAGAGGACGTGCACGTCGCCCTGAAGTGGAGGAGTGGGTGAACCCCCTGTATGCAACCGCCGCAGATGACGAGGAGGCGGCAAAGGTGGCGGATGCCGAGGATGCCGGGGACCTCCCTGAGGAGGAGGAGGCGGAGGAGGATGAGGAGGAGGAGGAGGAGGAGGAGGATGAGGAGGAGGACGCGGAGGAGGAAGAGGACGAGGAGGAGGCAGGGGATGAGGAGGAGGCAGGGGACGACGAGGAGGAGGAGGAAGGTGGGCTGGAGGAGAATGCGGATGATGAGTGAGGAGTATGGGAGTGGCAGGGTTGTGGTATGGGCCTTTCAGGAGTGAAAGATGCTAGATTTGCTACTTTGACCTTGTAATGTCTAGATTTAGGGTAAAGTCAGTGAAGCAATGTGTGTGTAAGTTTAACCATCTAGTTTACCAGATTGAAAAGGGCACTTCAGGGAAGGGGGGGGTCTTATGATGATTTACGGCCAAAGGGGGGTGCTCACAATATCTGCCACAATAAGAGTCCCCCTACCCGTTCAAGAGTCCCGGGGGACCTTCTTACCGGCGGGTCTTCTAGCCGGAACTATACGGCATAGTCATGTCGCGATCGAATTATTTGACAGAGAAAATCACGCCATCTGACCCATCAGGTAGGTTCAAAACCTAGGGATGACCCTGACACATGAAACTCTCATGGTCCTAGATAGAAAGAGGAAAAGAAGGGAAAGAAAGATATAAATGAAGGAGAAAGGAAATGAAGAAAGAAAGGGAGAAGGAAAATGAAACTGCCAAAAAGAACCCAAATGCAACACACATAAAACCCCCCCTCAAGATACCCAATCAAAGCGCCCAGTCAAGACACCCCATCAAGACATCCCATCCCACACCTCATCCCCCCCCCCCCCCCCCCCCCCCAAATCACAACAGCATATCGACCATGTACGAGGCCTCCACCCAGAGAGCCCCGCCTTCCACATCGACATTGTCCCTCTCCCGGTCCACCAAGTCTACGTTAATCCCCCCCATGGAAGACGTCGCTCGCAGCAGGATGACACGGGTTTGCGCACGTTGTAACGCCACCCCGATGAGCGCCTTCAGTGACCCTAAACGATAAGCCGAAAGCACGGAGTCGTCCTCCCGACAAGCCCCCCGCGACACAGCTAGCCCCACGTGCGCATCCCCCTGCTGACGAAGCCACCGCCGAAAATGACCGCCGAGACACCCCTACGTCTCTACTATCAGAGGGGTGAACTGCACGCCCCGGTTGCGTGCAAGCAGAGACGCGTAATCACTCGTTTTGCGACGCTCCCACTCTCTTGCCGCCACACCTATTTGGCGCCCGCACTGTCCTAGCAGAGATGGAGATAGGGATAGCGGGTCCGCGACGCTGATCTCTAGGGCGTGAGCCTCTCCAGCCATTGGTCGTCGCACCGCCACATCAACCCGCTTTCCCTACAGCACCACAGGGAGTGCTAGATCTGAATTGGAAAACCGCGGTCTGCTGGAGTAAGTTCCGGATGACACGAACAGCGCGTGACAAAAAATTGAAACGCGCCCTACGTACTTGACATCTTCCCAAGCTTAGGATGCAACCATACCTCATCACAGAGAAAACTATCGTACCATCCTGAACCATCTCAAAGCCTTAGGGGGTGTCCAGCTCGTTCATTTACTGTTCGTAAAGCCCTTCAGTTACCACATTTTGCGTTATAACACTGATTTTTACAGAAATGCCAGACATGATCGGCTCCTGTTCAAAATACGGCACACCCCCTGCACGTAGCTCGAATCGTGTGACGCACGTTACATGGATCAGCGTGCGCATCGAACAATGGTACAGAACCGCGTCCTGCCCACTACAGTGAGTGCCCATTGTATCGCGCGCTCGATTTCGCCTGCGCCGCATGACACTCGCCAAAACTAGTAGAGGAAGTGTTGGCATGGCGAAAATTCCAACGCTTGGGTTGACGAGAAAACCGGCTATCTTGGTTTCCACACGGCCCCTGCACTGTTGAAGTTTGTGTGGGGGGAACGTGTCCGCGCGCTAGAATTAACAAAAAAGGTGGACTCGACTCACTGCGATTTCGTTTTTAGGTACAGTGATTAGTTTTGAACCCCGGATCGTGAGGTGGTACTAAATTTCCTGAAATGAACGAGCTGGACACGCCCTTAACTTTAGGATCTGTTTCACGAGAGCCAAGACCACTCAAAGCAGCATGTTTCTGATTCCGCCCCAAGGCTTCGGCGTGTGCATTTTTCATAAGCTAAGGGCGTGTAACTTTGCTCCGACCAAACGAAATGGTCGACCAAATGGGATCAAACCTTTTCCAACCAATTTCGAGGGTGGTTTAGGGTGGTTGTTCCGCGTCCTGGCGAACAGAATGGTCGTTGTGCTCGAAATGTTTTGCGGGGCTCGTAGAATAGTTACAAGTTTCGCTTTCGCCAGATCCGGCCATTTGGTCGGATTTTGGGCTTGGTCGAAGCAAAGTTACACGCCCTAGGGGCGACGTCGGTTGTACACTTTCTCACACTTACACAAATCTTGCATCGTGGCTCAGGACGGTTCCACACTGTGTAAAGCGGTTTTCAAGCTTCACCGTTTTCCACCGCGACGAAACGAAGTTGATCGCAGAGGGCGTGCAAAAAGTAGTAGTACCTGACGTCGCCCTAAGCGAGCGTGATCCCGAGACCCATTAGCTATAAAAATCTCAAAAGTCGCGGGAGGCGGTAGTAGGGATTGGGCATACAGTAGTAGCTGGGGAGCCATGAGGTTAACTTAGGTGCTACTAAGCTACTTTTTTTGTTAGCTGGTTATCGACCTCGTCGCCGATTATCTCCGTGCTTTCCCCCACACCCCTCACCCAGAAGTTGTTTGATCACTAGATTCCAGACCCTAATGGGTCTCGTGTGCGTGAGGTTTTCTCGGGGAGATCGTTATGTCTCGCTACGGAGCACCTCGTTACTGGCGTCTATCTTTCTGCTCGTCCTCGCTCATGACACTGTAGCAAGAGTCATCTTGCCGTACATCTTGGGGGCGATTGATCCGACGGGTAGCATGGGAACTCGAGAAGAATCAACGGTTGAGATCGATCAACACGCAGATTCAGGCAAGGCAAGCAGAAATAGTATCGCAGCTCCCTTGAATCATGTTTTCAAACCCGTTCGTTCACTTCTCAGTATCTTCACTATTGCGTATGGATCCTGTCTTGTTCCTCTTCCCCCATCTCTCTCTCTCTCTCTCTCTCTCTCTCTCTCTCTCTCTCTCTCTCTCTCTCTCTCTCTCTCTCTCTCTCTCTCTCTCTCTCTCTTACCCCTTTTTCTCTTCGCAAGCGCGAGAATTGGCACCAGAACTGGTCGTGTCTTTCAGGAGAAGCACACGAAGAAGTTTTTCTTACTCTCTACCCCCCCCCCCCCCCCCGCCCCCCCCTCCCCCTCCCCCTCCCCCTCCCCCTCCCCCTCCCCCTCCCCCTCCCCCTCCCCCTCCCCCCTCCCCTTCCACCCCCCTCTTCTTTTTCCTCCTTTGCAGGCAATACAACTAGCACCATGTCGCTTCCAGGGCTTGTTGTTTCAGTCAGGAGCAGCACTCGAAGCAGCGGGACAGAACCAACAGCACAAGGCGCTGTATCGGACGTGACTTTATCGAGAACTGTGCCTGTATCAGATAAGATCACAGCAGAGGGAGCAGGAGAAGTGCTAGCGAGAAGGAGGCAGCTAGCAGGGTTTGAGACGTACGATATTCGGCGAGTGCGAGAATGGGTGGTTGCACAAAATAACGTCAGAAAGCTATACTCTGGAAATGCAGATAAGAAAAGTTCCTCCTCCTCGTCCTCCTCTCCGCTCCCCCCTCTCCTGTGGGACCCAGCTTTAGCCCGCTTTGCCCAAGCACACGCGGATTCAGTAGGTGCCAACGCGCAATGCCGCCCGGAAGCCAACGAGGCGGTGGGGGAGGCGGGTCTGGGGGAGGTGTATCTATGGGCTGCGGTGGAGAAGGGGGAGGCGTTATTCACGGCCGCAGAGGCGGTTGACGCATGGGCGGAGCAGGTGAGATGAGACTGGGGAAGGGGGAGGAGGGGGAGGCGGGCCGGGGGGAGGTGTATCTGTGGGCCGCATTGGAGAAGGGGGAGGCGTTATTCACGGCCGCAGAGGCGGTTGACGCGTGGGCGGAGCAGGTGAGATGAAACCAGGGATGGGGGGAAGAGCGGAAAGGGAGGGAGTGGGGGAAGGGAAGGGGGGTAAAGCGTTTTCGGCCGGCGGGACTGGGGGAGGTATATCTGTGGACTGGGGTGGAAAGGGGATGCTGCAGAGGCGGTTGAAGCATGGGTGGCGCAGGTGAGATGAAACCAGGGATGGGAAGGGGGGAGGGGTGGAGAGGGGGGGAAGGGGAGAAAGCGATGTATTGATTTATGTAGACCCCCATTTACCCCTGTTGACCCTTGTTGACCACCGCTGACCCCCGTTTACTCACGAGGGAAAGCACTACAGCAGCAGCACAGGGGCGTGCGTGCAAGGGGAGGACTGTGGCGCATTCAGTGCTTATCTTTCAAATGTTCACCAATGTGAATTCCGTTGAAGCCCGTTGACCTCCGTTGACCGCTGTTGACTTTTGTTTTCTTGGAAGGGCAAGCATTACAGAAGCAGCACAGAGGCATGCGTGGAAGGGGAGGACATAACGCATTCAGTTTTTGTCTTTCAAACTTTCACCAATATGAACGCCGTTGACCTCTGTTGACTCCCATCAACCCCTGTTGAGTTTTGTTCACTCAACAGGGCTAGCACTACAGCAGCAGCAGCACAGAGGCATGTGTGCAAGGGCAGACTTGCGGCGCAATCAGTGGGTGTCGTTCTATTGTTCACCGTTATGGATGCCGTTGACCCCTTTTGACCTCCGTTGACTCGCTAGGGCAAGCACTACAGCAGCAGCACAGAAGCGTGCGTGAAAGGGGAGGACTGTGGCGCATTCAGTGGGCGTTTCTATATGTTCACCAATATGAACCCCGTTGATCCCCATTGACCCCTGTTCTGTTCACTCAACAGGGCAAGCACTACAGCAGCAGCGCAGGGGCGTGCGTGCAAGGGGAGGACTGTGGCGCATTCATTCAACTCACATGGAGAGACACGAGGAGGGTGGGGTGTGGCGAGGTGCGTTCCTGCACGTTCCCCTTCTGCCGATCTCGCTTTTCCCCTCACACACAATGTCATTATCACTGACTGTGGCGCATTCAAGCATTCATTCAGCTTGTGTGGAAAGACACGAGGAGGGTGGGGTGTGGCGAGGTGCGTGGCTGCATGTTCCCCTTCTGCCGATCTCGCTTTCCCCCTCACACACAATGTCATTATCACTGACTGTGGCGCATTCAAGCATTCATTCAGCTTGCGTGGAAAGACACGAGGAGGGTGGGGTGTGGCGAGGTGCGTTCCTGCACGTTCTCTCTCTCCCTCTCTCTCTTTCCTCCTCACACACACATTCTCACTGTCACTGACTGGCGCGCATTCATTCAGCTCACGTGGAGAGACACAGACAATGTCATTATCACTGACTGGCGCGCATTCAAGCATTCATTCAGCTCGCGTGGAGAGACACGAGGGGTGTGACGAGGTGCGTTGCTGCATGCTTCCTCTCCCTCTCCCTCTTTCGTTTTTCTTCGAAGCACTGTTGCTATTACTGACTGAGACGCATTCCTTCCCTGCACCACTGCTCCCCCGGTATGCCTGCTCCCCCCCCCCACATCACTTCCCCCTTCCGGCCCCCGACGCTTCCCCCCATCGCTCTGCTTTGCCTCCGATGCTGCGTTTCCCCAAATATCCCTCCCATCACCAGGCACTCTGTCCCTACAAGGGAAATCCCACCAGGCTGGCTCGGTTTCTCGTCTGCAACTACCACCTTCCCGCTGCTGCTCTGCTTCGCCTGTGATGCTGCTACCCCCCAACTAACCCTTCCAACAGACTCTCTGTCCCAGCAAGGCCAAATCCACCCGGCTGCTCACTTCCTCCTCCGTATCTACCCCCCATCCATTCTGCCATCGCTCCTCATCCCCCCACCAGGCATTCTGTCCCTACAGGGGCAATTTCACCGGAGTTGCTCAGTTTCTCGTCTGCAACTACTGCCCACCTGCTGTGTCTCTTTGCTCCCCCATGCATCCCCCCATCCCTCCCCCGTCGCCTCGCCCCATCCCATCTACCATCCCCCCACCAGGCAATCTGTCCCTACAGGGGCAATTTCACCGGGGTGGCGCAGTTTCTCGTCTGCAACTACCATCCACCTGCTACCCTTCTTTACCCTCTTCTGCTCCCATCCCTCTGCCGTCTCCCCCACCAGGCCCTCTGTCCCTACAGGGGCAATTTCACCGGAGTGGCGCAGTTTCTCGTCTGCAACTACTACCCTCCCGCTGCTGCTGTTTAGGCATTGCGGTGAGAGACTGCTAGTGTTGCTCTCTTTTATGCATTTGCTGATACGAGTTACCCATCTGTAAAACCTCAAAATTTTACTCCAATACAGCAGGCTGTCTTGTCCGCTACGGTATGCTTTTGTACTGTGAATTACATGCACCGGTGCAACAATACCGTACTTGTTACGTGGGTATGTGAAGATGGGTATGCCGGTATTTCTCCCAACAGCCCTGTCTTGACAGAGACAAAGTCAGAGCTCCACCAGACCCCAACTCCATAACTCATAAAGCTGAGGGGGTAGGAATAGGGAAAAGATACAGTCAGGGCTCTACATATAGGGGCCCCAAGCACGAAGTCCATGATTTGGTACCAAGGAGCAGGAAAATAGCTTGGAGAAGTGGGGTATCGATCCCCATACGTCTCGCATGCTAAGCGAGCGCTCTACCATCTGAGCTACATCCCCGTGCTGGCTGCTTTACGGACTTATTTGTTTCTTGTCATTGCCTATTTCATGATTCCCTTCACTCCGTTTCTCACCCCCATTTTTCCCCTCCCTTCTCTCCATCGCCTTAGCCACCTGTTGTGCTGCCTTGACTCCGCACATCCTTTCTTCCCCTACAGTGTACCACATGAATCCTTCATTCCAGCACCCTTGGCTTGCCTCCGCACATCCTTTCCTCCCCTTGAATCCGCACCTGCTGTGCTGTTTTCACTCTATTATGTACCACCTAATTTCCCTTACTCCGTTTCACCCTGCCTTCCTCCCTTTCCCTCCCCCCACTGCCTTAACCGCCTGCTGTGCCACCTTCACGCGGTATTTTGGCTCAGGCCTTAGGCAAACCTTGAGCAGATGCACTACCTCCTGATCGGGGAAGATGAAGAGGAAGAAAATGGGGCAACGGGAGCTGTACCCTCTTCACTCTATACTCTGTTTTGGGCCTTCGACAGATGATGTGCAGAGGCACCACCTCCTGATAGGGGGAAGGAGGAAGGATAGGAGGGGTGGACGGGAAGGGGGTTGACCTCCACTTCGTCATCCAGTATCGTACACCAGAAATAATTTCTACTATGTTTTCGCCTGGCACCATATTTAAACAAGGAGAATGGCTCAACGATTCTAAGGTGTTGTGTTGATGTTCAATAAGCTCCAGTTGGCTCATAGGGCGAGCGGGTGTGATTACTTGTTGCAAGTTCGATTGTATGCACATATCATAATCAATGCATGCTTTCTCATTGGGTATGACCTTTTATCATAACTTTTTAGGGTAGGGGAAAGGGAATTAGAGACAACCAGAAACATGCTGGATGGAAGATGTGGTGAAAGTTCATACCCAAGGGAAATGGCAAAGACTAAATCAATCAATGGAGAAGTGGGGTATCGATCCCCATACCTCTCGCATGCTAAGCGAGCGCTCTACCATCTGAGCTACATCCCCATATGCACATGTAGACCTTAGTTTAACATGTTTTCATAATATTTTATTGCTATCAATTTGCTGTGAAGCCTCCACTCTGCTCAGTCATATACCAAACCTACTTTTGAGGTGCCCTTTTTACAATTAAAACAGGTTGCACACGTAACTCCTTCAGTCCAGTAAATCCCTGTTACTCTGCTTCACTCTATTGTGTATTACATAGTTTCTTCATTCCAGCTAATTCCCTTTACTCTGCTTCACGCTCGCCTTCTTCCCCTCCCCTCCCCCCACCGCCTTGGCCACCTGCTGTGCTGCCCTCACTCTGTACTCTGTCTCAGGCCTTCGACAGATCTTGCGCAGAGGCACCACCTCCTGATGGGGGAAACAAGGGGAGGAGGGTGAAAAGGCAAGGGGAGTGAGATTGGGGTTCATGCCTTAAATCGTTACTCAGTCTCGGGCCTAAGGCATATCTTGTGCAAAGTTACCACTTCCTGACGGGGGAAGCAGGAGGGTGGAAGGCGGAAAGGCAAAGGGGGTGAGTTCTTATGCTGTGCTGCCTTCACTTCGACAGATCTTGCGCAAAGACACTACTTCCTAATGGGGGAAGGGAGGAAGGAGGGGAGGGAGGAAGGAGGGGAGGGAGGAAGGAGGGGAGGGAGGAAGGAGGCACGGAATCGAGGATGCGGGCACGGAATCGAGGGAAGGTGAATGGAGTGGCCAGGGGAAATGAGGGCTATGCCCCGTTCTCTGTTCTCCCAGGGGAAATGAGGGCTATGCCCCGTTACTCTGTTCTCTGGGGGATCACTCTGTTTTCTGTCTCGGGCCTTCGGCAAATCTCGCGCAGAGGCACCACCTCCTGAATCGTGATGACGAGAAGGGAGGTGAGGAGAAGGGAACAAGAGAAAGGGAAAGTGAGCTGGGAGTTGAGGGGAAAGGAGGGTTATCCACTTTCACTCTGTACTCTGTCTCTTACCAGTAGTCATGTATCTTCTCCACTGCACATCAGTGGATCCGTGTTGTCACGATCCCCCTCACAAGAGCAGCACAGCACTCACCTCGGTGTTGTCGTGCCGGTACCGCACCCAGAACCGGGCACGGACACCCCCTCACGTCGTGCCGCCTCCTCTGCACGTCCCGCATGTCCGCACCCAGAACCTGCCTTGCATACTGTACCATCCCTCACCTCGGTATTGTCATGCCGGTGTCGCACCCAGAACCGGCACCTGCACCCCCTCACATCATGCCTTCTCCTCTGCACGTCCCAAACATCCCCAAGCTGAACCTGCCCTTGCATTCTCTAACGTCCCTTACTTCAGTGTTGTCAGGCCGGTATCGGTGCTGTCAGGAATAAACAGGTGGGCTGCGGAGGTCTAATGTCCATCAACTCAACGTCCCTTACTTCAGTGTTGTCGTGTCGGTACCGCAAAAGCGTTTTAGTGCTGTCCCTTACTTCAAGCATTCTCTAACGTCCCTTACTTCAAGCATTCTCTAACGTCCCTTACTTCAGTGTTGTCGTGCCGGTATCGCACCCAAAAGCGGCACCGACACCCCCTCACGTCATGCCGCCTCCTCTGCACGTCCCGCACATCAGCATCAAAATACAGCGCCTGGTCGGAAGCTTCCTGGAAGCAGAGAACCACGTCCCCAGGCAGCACGGCGACACACTCGGAGCCCTCGCAGGGAAGGGAGCGCGGGCGCACGGAAAGACGGGCTGACACCCACTCGTCTTCTTCGTCGGCAAAACCAAAGAAACGCACTAGTACTTGCTGCCCGCACATAGGGTGAGAGGGAAGAGAGAGGAGAGAAAAGCAGGAAAAGAGAAATGAAAAGATTGGGAAAAAGGGGTGTATAGACCAGCAGGTGGGCAGGCCGTTACAGACAGGCAGCACGTCTCATCCCCAGGCAGCACGTCTCATCCCCAGGCAGCACGTCTCATCCCCAGGCAGCACGTCTCGTCCCCAGGCAGCACGTCTCAACCCCAGGCAGCACGTCTCAACCCCAGGCAGCACGTCTCATCCCCAGGCAGCACGTCTCATCCCCAGGCAGCACGTCTCATCCCCAGGCAGCACGTCTCATCCCCAGGCAGCACGTCTCAACCCCAGGCAGCACGTCTCATCCCCAGGCAGCACGTCTCATCCCCAGGCAGCACGTCTCATCCCCAGGCAGCACGTCTCATCCCCAGGCAGCACGTCTCATCCCCAGGCAGCACGTCTCATCCCCAGGCAGCACGTCTCATCCCCAGGCAGCACGTCTCATCCCCAGGCAGCACGTCTCATCCCCAGGCAGCACGTCTCAACCCCAGGCAGCACGTCTCATCCCCAGGCAGCACGTCTCAACCCCAGGCAGCACGTCTCATCCCCAGGCAGCACGTCTCATCCCCAGGCAGCACGTCTCATCCCCAGGCAGCACGTCTCATCCCCAGGCAGCACGTCTCATCCCCAGGCAGCACGTCTCATCCCCAGGCAGCACGTCTCATCCCCAGGCAGCACGTCTCATCCCCAGGCAGCACGTCTCATCCCCAGGCAGCACGTCTCATCCCCAGGCAGCACGTCTCATCCCCAGGCAGCACGTCTCATCCCCAGGCAGCACGTCTCAACCCCAGGCAGCACGTCTCATCCCCAGGCAGCACGTCTCAACCCCAGGCAGCACGTCTCATCCCCAGGCAGCACGTCTCATCCCCAGGCAGCACGTCTCATCCCCAGGCAGCACGTCTCATCCCCAGGCAGCACGTCTCATCCCCAGGCAGCACGTCTCATCCCCAGGCAGCACGTCTCATCCCCAGGCAGCACGTCTCATCCCCAGGCAGCACGTCTCATCCCCAGGCAGCACGTCTCATCCCCAGGCAGCACGTCTCATCCCCAGGCAGCACGTCTCATCCCCAGGCAGCACGTCTCATCCCCAGGCAGCACGTCTCATCCCCAGGCAGCACGTCTCATCCCCAGGCAGCACGTCTCATCCCCAGGCAGCACGTCTCATCCCCAGGCAGCACGTCTCATCCCCAGGCAGCACGTCTCATCCCCAGGCAGCACGTCTCATCCCCAGGCAGCACGTCTCATCCCCAGGCAGCACGTCTCATCCCCAGGCAGCACGTCTCATCCCCAGGCAGCACGTCTCATCCCCAGGCAGCACGTCTCATCCCCAGGCAGCACGTCTCATCCCCAGGCAGCACGTCTCATCCCCAGGCAGCACGTCTCATCCCCAGGCAGCACGTCTCATCCCCAGGCAGCACGTCTCAACCCCAGGCAGCACGTCTCATCCCCAGGCAGCACGTCTCATCCCCAGGCAGCACGTCTCATCCCCAGGCAGCACGTCTCATCCCCAGGCAGCACGAATCATCCCCAGGCAGCACGTCTCATCCCCAGGCAGCACGAATCATCCCCAGGCAGCACGTCTCATCCCCAGGCAGCACGTCTCATCCCCAGGCAGCACGTCTCATCCCCAGGCAGCACGTCTCATCCCCAGGCAGCACGTCTCAACCCCAGGCAGCACGTCTCATCCCCAGGCAGCACGTCTCATCCCCAGGCAGCACGTCTCATCCCCAGGCAGCACGTCTCATCCCCAGGCAGCACGAATCATCCCCAGGCAGCACGTCTCATCCCCAGGCAGCACGTCTCATCCCCAGGCAGCACGTCTCATCCCAGGCAGCACGTCTCATCCCCAGGCAGCACGTCTCATCCCCAGGCAGCACGTCTCATCCCCAGGCAGCACGTCTCATCCCCAGGCAGCACGTCTCAACCCCAGGCAGCACGTCTCATCCCCAGGCAGCACGTCTCATCCCCAGGCAGCACGTCTCATCCCCAGGCAGCACGTCTCATCCCCAGGCAGCACGAATCATCCCCAGGCAGCACGTCTCATCCCCAGGCAGCACGAATCATCCCCAGGCAGCACGTCTCATCCCCAGGCAGCACGTCTCATCCCCAGGCAGCACGTCTCATCCCCAGGCAGCACGTCTCATCCCCAGGCAGCACGTCTCAACCCCAGGCAGCACGTCTCATCCCCAGGCAGCACGTCTCATCCCCAGGCAGCACGTCTCATCCCCAGGCAGCACGTCTCATCCCCAGGCAGCACGAATCATCCCCAGGCAGCACGTCTCATCCCCAGGCAGCACGTCTCATCCCCAGGCAGCACGTCTCATCCCCAGGCAGCACGTCTCATCCCCAGGCAGCACGTCTCATCCCCAGGCAGCACGTCTCATCCCCAGGCAGCACGGCAACACACTCGGAGCGCGGGCGCACGGAAAGACGAGCTGAGACCCACTCGTCCTCCTCATCTGCAAAGGCGAAGAAACGAACTAGTACTTGCTGCTCGGGTGTGGGTGGAGCAGGGGGGGAGGAGGAAGAGGGAAGGGAACACATGGGGCATGAGAGGCCGACCAAGACCCACTCGTCCTCCTCGTTTGCAAAGCCAAAGAATCGCACCAGTACTTGCTGCTTGGGCGTGGGTGGAGCAGGAGGTAAGGCAGGAGAGGGAAGGGAACAAATGGGGCATGAGAGGCGGGCTGAGACCCACTCGTCCTCTTCTTCTCTGCGAGCCAGAGAAACGAACGAGCACTTGCTACTCGGTTGTGGAGGGGGGGAGGGGGGAATAGGGAGGAGAGGAAGCAGGGATAAATGGGAGAGATTGGGAAATAAGGTCTTTTGAGGCGCCTCATAAATGGGAGAGATTGGGAAATAAGGTGTGTAGAGCCACAGGCGGGTTGGGTTTCAGGCAGTAGCAGGCAGACAGATTGCTCCCAGGCAGGCAAGACGGTAGGGAAGGGGGAGCGAGCTTTTGAGGCGCCTCAATAATCTGTCTGAGCCAGCAGGCGGGTTTCAGGCAGTAGCAGGCAGACAGATTGCTCCCAGGCAGGCAAGACGGTAGGGGAGGGTGGCGAGCCGACATCCATTCGTCCTCCTCATCTGCTAAGACAATGAAGAAGCGCACCAGCACTTGGGAGAGGGGGGAGGTTGGGGGAGAGGTTGGGGGAGAGGTTGGGGGAGAGGTTGGGGGAGAGGTTGGGGGAGCAAAGGGAGCAGGGAACGCGCGGAGAAAATGGGAAATAGGCAGGAGGAGACAGGTGCAGGAATTATCCCTGCTGAATCAATCGTTTCTACTTATTGCGACAACAGAACATCCCCTTGCTGACTGACCTTATCCCCTTGCTGACTCACCTCTTCACCGGATTCGGTCTTCCGATGTGCCAGGAGGCTTGCCACGTCATACCTGGAAAGAATGGATGGGGATGGGTGAGAATGGGTAAGAATGGGTGGGAATGGTGAGAATGGTGAGAAAATTGTGATAAGGAGACATAACGAGGAGAAACGGAGAAAGAATTGGTGATAACGTTTTACACAAAACAATGTACACCAACACCACTCTGCATATACCATACAGCACGCCCTGTTACCATTGATTATGTACCATGCACCGTCACGCACCGTCAAGAACCGTCATGCACCGATCTCCTTTACAAGCAACATGCACCATGCTCCCATATGTACCAATCTCCTTCACCATGCCCCACGCGCCTTACCATGCGCCGTCTCTTGCGGATCGGGCTTCATACTCCATCGCACCCCACCAGCACCTATTAGGACCTACAAGCACCTACGAGAACCTACAAGCACCTACGAGAACCTACGAGCACCTACAAGCACCAACTAATCAGCAACAGGGGCAAGAACGGTTACTAATAAGTACGAATCGCTGTCACCACCACCGTATACGTATTCTGCGCGGCTTCCTGCGGAGCTAACTGTCTTGGCGTTAAAGCGTAGCACAAATGATGTCGGGCCGCTGTAGATACCAGCTCGGTTTGCACACCAACGCCGTTTTAATAACTACTAATTCCAAAGGCTTCCAGACTTCGCCTCGTAGCGTCACGCCGACCCGTATACGAGTCACAAGCGCGTCCCTGTTAATCGCGAGTTTGTGAAAGTTATCGGGTCGTCGTCGGCTTGTGTGTCAAGACGGTCGACGTAGTAGCGCGAACGGCGGTATACAAGAAAGCCAACGCCGCGACCAGTGCTGTCGTGAATAAAATAGGACGGTATGGCAAAAAGACGAGCGTAGAAAAGTATACTGCGCATCCGGGGAATCGAACCCCGGTCAGTACCGTGGGAGGGTACTATGATACCACTACACTAGATGCGCATGTTATTGGCGTACGTATAGTTAATTTTTGATAGACACACCACCATGGTCAAGATTAGTTGCCGAGTCTGGAGATTAGAGCACCAGAAATGCCTAGTACGCATAACCAACTCATTTACCGCATACAGACAGACATTATAGAATTGTAAACCATTGCGGCAGCGGTGGGAGCACCCCCAAAACCGCCAGCAATCGCGCAGACAAAAACACACAGTAAGCTGCCACAAGAACAACCCCTGTTCTCTTGTCCAGCACCACTCCTCTCCTCCCCTCTCTGCCAGCTCCACCTCCTATAACCCTGCTTCCAGCCCCATCCCCTCCCCCTATCCCACCCCTTCCTCCTATCCCATCCGAATTCCCTCCTCTTTCTCCCAACCAACCCAGCCGAATCAGCACAAAGAGCAACACGAGGAATAGGAACCCGAGGGTGAATAGGAGGGTTGGATCCACAGGCACCACGTAAGGTTCAGGGTATCTGGACCAGCAGGCGAGCACTAAAGACAAGCCCAGGCCGACCAGCGTGTTGAAAAGCGGTCCGGCGAAGCAGCCCGACCAGGCGATCTGCAGCCGTGATTGGTCGCCGCTGGCAGCAAAGGACAAATTAGCGACTAGATCCCCGACGGAGTTACCCCAGGCGAGGACGGTCAGAGCCAGAATTGGAGGGGAAATTCCGAGGATTACACCCAGGGAGACCAGGAGCGCGACGAGTTCGTTCGCGAGGGCGTAGAACCAGACGACGGACATGGCAAAGCTGGCAGTTACCCAGAGTAAAGCGGGTAAAAAGGACTGCGGCGGGGATTCTTCTTCCGTAGTGTAGTAAGTCAGACAGGCGAGGAAAACCCCGAGGGAAGCGGCGAGGATGAATTCAAGGCGATCGGAATCAACACCGAGGACGAAGGTGGTGAAGAGGAGGGGGGAGAGGAGGGAGGAGGCGACTGCAAAGGGTTTGGACCACTCGTCTTTGTGGTGGACGGGGATGGAGCAGAGGAGCGGCAGCGTGAGCGGGAACTTTATGAAGTACTCGCAGAAACCGGCAAAGGTCCAGGGGCGCTGTGCGGTGGAGATGGGTGGAGTGGGGTGGGGAGGGGTAGAGTGAGTTGGAGTTAGTGTGGTGAGGGAAGGCGGAAGTTGTGCTGAGCGGTGGAGAGTGGTGCTTTACGGTACGAGTTGGAGCCTGAGTAGAGGCTAAGGAAGGCAGCAGTAGAACGCAAAAAGCATGAAGACAGAACAAAGAATAATATTTTTTGGCCCAGAGAAAACAGGTCAAAGCCCACATCAAACCGCAACACCCCTCACCCCAAACAGCCACTCACCAGCTCTGGGTCTTCCATTTCCTCGTCATAGCCCCACAGTGGTTCTCTCAGCTCGTCTGCTACACTCGCCGCCATGCGGTTACCAGTACCACGAGCGGCACCACCCGCAGGCACACCAGCAGCACTAGCAGCACCAGCCACACCACCAGCACTACCAGCAGCAGCAGCAGCAGCAGCAGCAGTGAATGCATCATCAGCACCGGAAAAATCAGCAGAGGCAGCAGAGTGAAGCACAGGAGGAGCAGTGCGGGACGGGGAGGACAGTGGGGGGGACAGCAGGCGGGGCGGCAGCACCACAGGGCAGCTGCCGCTGCCAGCTGTCACGTCCTCGGCCTCCACGTGGCCAGGTGGCGCGTTGCTATTGGCCGAATTCTCCCGGGAGAAGATAAAAGGGAGGGGGAGGTAGGTGCTGGGGTGGAGGTAGTGATGGGTGTGGAGCCGGGAGTGGAAGAGCGAGCGCTCGTGCGTCCACAGCCAGTGGGGTATCGTTGCCTGTGACACTGGGAGTGAATGAGGGGAAAAGGAAAAAGGGAGAGAAAGGGGGAGAAGAAAAGGTAGTGGTGGGTGTGCAGGCGCGAGTGAGTGGAAGAGCAATCGCTCTTTGCGTCGAGAGCCAATGCGGTATCGTAGCCTGGGACACTGGGATGATGATAAGAGGGGAAAAGGAGAAAGGCAAGTCAGGGTAGGTGTGGGGGTGGAGATAGTGGTGGGTGTGCAAGCGGGAGTGGAAGAGCGAGCATTCGTGGGCCCACAGCCAGTGGGGTATCGTTGCCTGGGACACTGAAATGCACAAGGGGAAAAGGAGAGGGGGAAAAGACAAAAAAAGGCAGGGAGGGAGGGGAATGGGAGGGAAACAAGGTAGTGGTGGGTGTGTAGGCAGGATGAAGGGGTGTAACTGGAATCTGGAATCTGGAATCTGGGGGTGCGTGGCTCCGTTGTTGGCAGGCAGTGGTACTGTGGGAGAGCGCGACAGCGGAGCAGTAGGCGGGTTAGATGGTGCAGGGTAGAATAGAGGACGGATAGAGTCTCAGTTCGAGTCATTCTGCTGTGTACCTGAACGGATGAAGGGGTGTATCTGGAACCTGGGGGTGCGTGGCTCCGCTGCTGGCATGCAGTGGTAGAGCGCGACAGCGAGGCAGTAGGCGGGGTAGTGGATGCAAGGCAGGGTAGGGTATAGGCGGACAGATTCTGGAACAGAATCTTGGCCCGAGACAGTTCACTCACCTGAACGGATGAAGGGGTGTATCTGGAACCTGGGGGTGCGTGGCTCCGCTGCTGGCATACAGTGGTAGAGCGCGACAGCGACGCAGTAGGCGGGGTAGTGGATGCCAAGCAGGGTAGGGTATAGGCCGACAGATTCTGGAACAGAAACTTGGCCCGAGACAGTTCACTCACCTGAACGGATGAAGGGGTGTATCTGGAATCTGGGGGTGCGTGGCTCCGCTGCTGGCATGCAGTGGTAGATCGCGACAGCGAGGCAGTAGGCCGGGTAGATGGCAAAGAAGAGCAGTGCGTGGGGCAGATGCACTGCGCGTTGCCATACTAGCACGCACAGGGCCTGTTGGGGGGAGGAGGGAGGGAGTAGAGCAACATGTGAGTGGTTGACAAGAGCAGGCAGGCAGTATGGCAGTAGGCGGGGTAGACGGAAAAGAAGAGCAGCGCGTGTGGTAGATGCACCGCGCGCTGCCACACCAGCACACATAGAGCCTGTTGGGGGGAGGAGGGAGGGAGTAGAGCAACATGTGAGTGGTTGACAAGAGCAGGCAGGCAGTATGGCAGTAGGCGGGGTTGACGGAAAAGAAGAG